AATGTATGTATATCCATATAAATATATATATACATATATATATAAGCAATTCTTAATATTTTGTATGCACAACAATAAATAAATTAAATAAGAAATAGCTTGATCGAAATATGTTGATATTTATTGTAATATAATTACTTATTTCTGAAAATAAATATTATTTCTATGAGAGTCGTAAATATTATTTTTATTTCTCAAGATATTGTTTGTACGTGTGGTGTATGTGTGTGTGTGTATGTGTGTGTATGTGTGTGTGTGTGTGTGTGTGTGTGTGTGTGATAGATTTCTTTCTATAGACGGCATAAAAAAATCAAATAATATTATGAGCACGAAAAAATATACACGAAGAATTTATTTTGAGAATCAGAAATATTAAAAAAACGCGACAAAGTTTTTTTCCTTCCGGATAAAATTCCAACGTGCGCTTCTAAGGTCAACGCGCATCCTTTGCTAAACTAATAAATTCATACACGTTTTGCTGCCAGATTTGTATTTACGTGATACAGACGGGTGTGCATCTGAGCCTCAATAAAGCACGAGTTTAATCGTAAATCAATTATGCGAAAGATCTTAGATCTTATATTCGTCAATAAAGTTATAAAATCTGCAAACAATGCAAAAATTTGCGCATAGTCCCTCGTGATCGAATATAAATGCATCGCGTCGCTTCGCTAATGATCGGATAAACACTTTCTCGAAAACGCAACAAAATATTTGCTCCACGAAATAAGCTCGCACAAATCGCATGTGACAAAACTGAAATTTAGCAATTATATGTAAAATCTAAAGCTATAAATTAGTTTTTTGTTTTGAACAAGAGAAGTTGAGACACGTAGCGACAAAATTGAATGAATTCCCAACACGATAAAGATAAGTTTAATAATTTTCTTTTACGGCTTTCGTTTCCTTTTTAAGAAATAGAGATGTTAAAAAAAATCAATATAAAGTAATATGTAACAAAAGTTTCTCTTGGTGTAAATTTTCAAAAGGAGGAAAGCAAGTTCGAAAGAATAATATGATGAATCAACATTCTCTGAATACATATTAGAAACCATTTAATTTTTTCCCTACGAGTTGTGGGAAATATGACGGCTCCGTATAATTGTTAATTACCGCGAGACATATGCTAACGAACCGTCGTAAGCAAATTCCTCGAAACGTTCGCTACAAGAGAAAACGAAAACAATTTTGGGACAAGAACGGAAGCGTTCGTTTGATCGTCATCGTCGTCATCGTCTTCGTTTCCGAAAAGATGTACGTACTCCACTAAGTAAGATAAATCATAATTATTCTTGATATCAGCATTCGCGGCATCCTAAAGTCCCGCTGGATAAAAACTAGATACTTGTAGCATCCGAGTTTGATTTAGTCGGGCAACGTGAATAACACAGTTTCACGTTTGCCCGTCTCTGTGAAAAAAAAAACGCGACGATTACCTTTTTCCTTTCTTTTCAAGTTCTATGTATACTTGTAAACTTATAAATGTATAAAAACGATTAGACAGTAACAGAATACAATTTCTTTAGGATTCTCGAAATAATCTTTTTGGATTTCTAAGCACAAGGAAAGACATCTCTTTTGCTTATGTATTATTCGACAAATCCTGCAATGATACCCTTCATGGAGTGCAGTAACGGCTGTCGCATACTGGCAATGGAAACGAAGACGAGGGCGAAAACGGATAAAAGATTGAAGCGCACTCGGAAGGGAAATGAAAGCACCGCGAGCTTCCTCTTCTCGACGGTCCTTCGACTTTATTCGCGAGACAACGATACTTTACGCAAATATCCAGTATTCTGTATACAATCATAATTAGCTAATCATCCGTCGACGAAACATATCGCTCGCGAACAGCCACTTCGGCGTAAACTGCACGTTATGCGCATTCTCGCGTATCTCAATCACTATGACAAGCAAATATATATTTAAAAAAACATTCTTTTTGAAACAGAAATTGAAATAAAAAAAGACATCTTTTGCGAGGTTGCTATTATATGCTTGAAAAATACATATGATATAAAGGCACAAAATAAAAAAAGTATGCAAAATTATTCTTATTGTTAGTACAAAGTAATCGGAGCATGATCCTGGAGACGTCCCAAGTCCGTGATATCGTCATCGTGGACGGGGCCTGGGGCCCACAGAAAAAATAATCAAAATAATTTGTATGTGCGTATGCATATGTATGTGCGATTGCGTATGCGTGTGCGTGTGTATGTATATCTATGTTGAATTGCATTACTGGTTTTATGTAATATTATTTCCTTTCGACAGTAACAATAAAAAAAATAATATATCATAATATATTTCATTTATATATGTATTTTCGTTTATATTTCCCAACATTTTATCAACGAAATATAATAATTAGAGTTTCTTGTCCTAAATAACATTACCGTTTTTCTTTCTTCAAAGATACCCTAGAATCCTAACACCACACTTCCAAAAAATCCTGATTTTACTATACTAAGTTTACGCTACCCAGTGTACTAAGAGAGAGAGGGACAGGGATGGAGAGAGAGAGAGAGAGAGAGAGAGAGAGAGAGAGAGAGAGAGAGAGAGAGAGAGAGAAAGAGGAATAAATGGGTGCATGCAAATTACATACATAGGAGAGAAAGGAATAATACAAGAGATATCTGTCCTTCTCTAACGAAGCATCTATACGACATATATCTGTCAAAGTTCGTTCTTTGAAACGGCTTTATAGATCGCAAAATTTTTTTACAGAAGTAAAGTATAGGTACTAATAAAGAGTTGTTTTTTCCATGTGCTCCCTAAGTTACATAACAGTTACAAACTGGTTTACTGGGATTATGTTATAATAATTAAGATTTTTATTCAGTTTTGTTATCTATACTGTTCATCAGCTGCCGTTACCCTCTACTCTGATGCTAAGACTGAGGTATATTTTTCTATATAAAGACAGAATAAAATTAGTTATATATAAATCAATACTATAAATTTAATATTTATTGCATTTGTTATAAAAGTTATTATTTTACCCCATCAAGAATGGATAGATCCTTTGAAAGAGTTTTATATCATTCATTTACATTACAAGAAAAAAATTATTAGAGGTGCAAGAGATGCAGTAAATTGCCAAGTCTAATAAGTACCCGCGTCAATACATACTATGTATACTAATTCACATTCTCAATTATGCTACTGTTATTATTTGTCATCAGACAATTATAAACATACACATAATAATTAGATACATATATATATATATATATACGCACATGTGTGCATAAGAATATATATAATTTATAAAAAGCGGGTGCTTATCAGCCTTGATACGTTACTGCCTTCTGCTACAGACGGCCAGAAAGCATTTTCAGGTTCAGGCCGTATTGCTAAAGAATCCAAGACGCGGCAACGCGCATATGTCTCTTTACCGTGCGTCCGTGTGAGCAATTCAGTGGTGTGTGTACGTGTACGGACATACACCACTTCATAGAATCTGAAATAAGTTGGTAACACTGAAACCGGAGTTTCGCGTTGTCACCACGCGAGGTCTCCAATATCAGTTCGGCCTTTGCTTTAGTTGACAGAGTTGACATTACCGACGTCGAGGAAGTTCGGCCTTAGCTTTAGCATCCCCTTAAAGGTTCGCTAATTGTCGCCATATTTGGAATAAACGCTGCGCAAAAATTGACCAACCCCAGAAAACTTCTGACTTCTTCTGGCGTTTCGGGTTCTCTGAAGTTCTGTACTGACTCAACTTTTGATCGCATTAATCGGTAACCTGACCCGTTTACTATAAATCCCAAAAATTCAATCTCCTTAACCGCAAAAACGCATTTATTTTTATTAAGGGGATGCTGGAGCCGTAGCCGAACTCGATCGGCGTCGGTAAAGAAGACCGGCGAACTATATCTGTCCTTGTATAGACAAAGATATAGACAAGGATAGCACGCTACATTGCACGCACACATACGCACGATGCACGTCGACATTATACTTTTATATTACGCTTCCAAATCTTGATTTGGAGGGTTTATCGATGTTTTTCTTGTTGTGCAATTCGGGGGAACTTGTTTTCGCGTTCGTACAAATGGTATATCTCTTATATGAAATACATCTTGTGACGAGCTGACAGCTCGCCGCAACTCGAGACGCCATATTGGGATAAAAGTAGGATAAGGAAATCTGTACTTCCGTAATTTTTTCTCGTTTTCTATATAAAATCAGAGTTTCCCCGAATCATTAATGTATGTACTGCAATTCTGGAGAAGGATTTTTAATTCTGTCAAATTAATACGACGCTACGTGCCGACAAAAAATGCCGGTAAAACAGACGGCTCCAGCATCCCCTTAAGTGTCAAGCCTTTCTCTAAGAGTCTATCAAGTACTTTCTGAAGTTTCCGATTATGATCTTCTAAATTTTTTCCGTAAACCACAATATCGTCTGCACTATTTATTACACCCTCAAGATCTCGTAAAATCTCTTCCAATGTTTCTTGAAAAATTTCCGGGGCACAGTTTAAACCGAAAACTAACCTCTTAGATCTAAATAGACCACAATCCGTACTAAACGTAGTAATACTTCGCGTATCCTCATCAAGCTCAATTTGATTAAATGCTCCTCGAATATCTAATTTTGAGAAACACTTCGCTCCTCTTACTTTATCAAGTAGTTCTACAAATACAGGTAACGGGCTTCGTTGACGAGTTATTGCCTCGTTTACTTCAATAAACCCGAAGATCACTCAGGAGGGTGACCTTGACAACATATGTCAAGGTCAAGGTCATCGGAGGGTGGTCCCTATTACTGTATAATTACCAGAAAATGTACCAAACGTATTCTTGGAAAATCAAAATAGAGAAAAAGAAAATGTACCAAACGTATTCTTGGAAAATCAAAATGGAGAAAAAGAAAACGTACCAAACATATTTTTGGAAAATGAAAATATAGAGGAAGAAAATGTATTAAATATATCCTTGGAAAATGAAAATAGAAAGGAAGAAAATATATCAAACATATCTTTGGAAAATAAAAACGGAGAAAAAGAAAATGTACTAAACATATATTTAGAAAGCAAAAGTCGAAAGAATAATAAAGAAGAGTTATGTTCCGAAACACAATTCTTTTGTCAACCAGAACATATAAACACGAAAGGTTAGTATTAACAATATTTTTTGTCATTTTTATTTGTATAAATTAATCCGTTATCACACTTTAGAGAAAGAAAGTATAATAAATATATCTTTAGAAGACGGGGAAAATTATGAAAGGGAGACACAAGTTAACGTAAATCAAGATCCAATAATTATACGACAACCTCAAGTTGTACTAACGAGACTTAAACGTAAAGAGTATGAAAAGTATACTAACACTGATCGACAGCCATTAGCTTCTATTGAAAATACTATTGCGTCAAAAGTAAATATATATTGAAATATATATACTTATCATAATCTTGCACATTACTTAAGCATTACAAAATTTAAAAAATTTTCTAGATTACGCAAAAATACAGAAGAAAAGTACACAAATATTGTAGCTGTTGCAACTAAATAATGGTATAAATATGTACGTATAATATATATGACGTATTTTTAGTAAACAGTAAGAACACTAAAAATATAGTTTGATTGTTATATAGTATAACACATCGTTTCGAAATTTTTCAGAACGCATTTATAACATTCCAGAAGATGATTTTGGATATTGGTACGAAGATCAAGAAAGTACCTTAGAAAGCGACTGTGTACCCTATCACAAAGTCGAAAGACATTCTCTGGAAACGTGCGAAAAAAATCGAGAAACGAAGAGATCTGACCGTACGTGCACTGCTTGCATTGATGCTGAAGCGAATCAAGTTTTCATACCGTGCGGTCATATCTGTTGTTGTGAAGAATGTGCTAATCATATTATGCGCGAGAATGATAATGTTAAAAAATGTCCGATTTGCAAAGAAGAAATTTCAACGGTCTACAAAGTATATATGTCGTAAACAAATTTACATCTTATTCTAAATATATGAACATTTAGGATTGCCTATAACTTTTAATATTCAATCGGAGACATTTGTCGGCCATACTTTGAAAGATTCGTTTTTAATGTAACGGTATTATATGTATATGTTAAGCATTATGTACTACGTATAAAAGACTGTATGCAAGCTAATCTGAAACTATTGTTAGTTTTTCACAATGTTGTAAGGTAGAGTGCAATCATACCAAAATAATTTTTTCTTATAAGTGTATTTTACGTTAATTAATAGTAGGATTTTGTTTTATGTTTTGTTTTAAACAAGAAAGAACGGGCGTACGTACTGCTTTTCAAATGTGAGCTATGTTTAAAAAAATAAGTTTTGTTTCATTCTCGTACTCTAAAGGATATAGAATTAAGGTTTATTTTATTGTGCAATATATAAGTTGCAATATAGTTTTAATTGTTTTGTGAATAAATTATTTATGTTTTGTAAATAAATTACTTGTATTTTGACTTTCAATCCTGCTTACAATACAATTCGAGTATTGTGTAAAAATGTAATAGTTTGATTATTGATTAATCTAGTTTTATACACACACGCGCTCTATAAAATTGCTCTAAACTACGCTTTAGAATTAAATTACACAGTAAAGTGCAAACATTATGCATATAATATTAATATTATATGCGTAACGTAAATATTAATAATATTGATATTACACATAATGTTAACGATAAAATCATTTTTGCTGTTTACATGTGTGTGCGTGCACGTGCGTATACCTATGCGTGTGAAAGTATTAAATCTATGTTAGAGACAGGAGAAAGATGTAAATAGCAAATATGGTTTCACCGTTAATATTATAGTCCACATTGTAACATTTGGACTTTATTTTATGTAATTTAATTCTGAATAAGCGTAATATTTATAATTTTTTATAGAATTTATGAACATTAAAGGAATTATGCTGCAATAAATTTGAAGAAACTCCATAACATTATACAAGGTTCTAGTAGCGAAGACAGTAAAAATAAATCGTCGCTTAAAAGAATCTCATATTTTGCAAATGGATTTATCGACTTTTGTTGAACTAAACTGAATCTTCTATGAACTGCGAGTGATCCACAAGACATGTCCTTCCTTGGCACCTGAAACATATAGTAAATAAACCTAAACAACTCTAGTACTATATGTGACAGCAATTATGTTTAAATAATTCGATAGGCATTATGTAGAGTAAACGGTACAGTAATTGACAAGGGTACAGTGATTGACACTTACATGACATATTTGTACCGTAGAAGACAAACTACTCGCACAATGAATCATAAAGTACTTATGTAAAGTAATCAAAAAGAACTGTCGTCTTCAGTATCTTACAATTAATCGCGCGATGAACAGTTCATCTATTATGGGTACAAATATAACAGTGTCAATCACCTTATGCTGTCAATTACTGTATCGTTTACCCTAATTATATAAAAGCCATTGTAATCGAATCACACACACACACACACACACACACACACACACACACACACACACACACACACACACACACACACACACACACACACACACACACACACACACACGCACACACACGCACACACACGCACACACACGCGCACACACACACGTACACACACACACACGCACACACACACGCACACACACACGCACACGCACACGCACATATTTGATCACATATATATTATATTGAGGTTAGAAAAACTGTCACGGAATAAGTTTATATTATCAATGTATCAAAGTGACATAAATACACTTACCTAAAATTTAACACATATTGTAAAAATTTAGTTAATTGAATAATTGAATAAAGAGTTACATAGATTACTTGAATAAAGGATTTACATATATTAGATTACTTCTTATCGCCACTGTGTACGATCGGCACTGTGTCCGATCGGCACTGTGTCCGATCCGCACTGTGTCCGATCCGCACTGTGTCCGATTGCTACTGTGTCCGATCGACACTGTGTCCGATCCGCACTGTGTCCGATCTGCACTGTGTCCGATTGCAACCACCGTGTGTCCGATCGACATTGTGTCCGATCCGCCTTGTGTTCGATCTGCACTGTGTCCGATTGCAACCACCGTGTGTCCGTTTCCTACTATGTCCGATCAACACTGTGTCCGATCCGCACTGTGTCCGATCCGCACTGTGTCCGTTTCCTACTGTGTCCAATCCGCACTGTGTCCGATTGCAACCACCGTGTGTCCGATCGACACTGTGTCCGATCTGCACTGTGTCCGATTGCAACCACCGTGTGTCCGTTTCCTACTGTGTCCAATCGACACTGTGTCCGATTCGCACTGTGTCCGATCCGCACTGTGTCCGTTTCCTACTGTGTCCGATCGACACTGTGTCCGATCCGCACTGTGTCCGTTCTGCACTGTGTCCGATTGCAACCACCGTGTGTCCGATCGACACTGTGTCCGATCGACACTGTGTCCGATCCGCACTGTGTCCGATCTGCACTGTGTCCGATTGCAACCACCGTGTGTCCGTTTCCTACTGTGTCCGATCGACACTGTGTCCGATCCGCACTGTGTCCGATCCGCACTGTGTCCGTTTCCTACTGTGTCCGATCGACACTGTGTCCGATCCGCACTGTGTCCGATCCGCACTGTGTCCGATTGCAACCACCGTGTGTCCGTTTCCTACTGTGTCGGATCGACACTGTGTCCGATTTATTCTGTGCGCAACTGGGACTCACTCAATGATGCATGGTGCCTCAACAGTGGATGCACATCCCATTTATGCCACGATAAGGAAATATTTGATGACATTACGGACTCCGAAAGCACAAAACTCAACCTAGCTAATCACGTATCCACCGAAGTAAAGGCGAAGGGTACTGTTAAAATCGCATCCACAAATGGAAGTGTGAACAGAGTTGTACGTCTGGAAAATACTTTACACGTACCCGATCTACGAAGTAATCTGATTTCAGTCTCGAAAATCACAGATGCCGGAAATCAAGTCACTTTTATCAAAGAAAAGGCCACTATTAAAAATGCTAACGGGACCACAGTTCTAATTGCAGATCGGAAGGGAGATTTATACTTTTTACGTGAGGCCGACGTGGAGTCAGCTCACACAGCTTCAGTTGCACGCAAATCTTCATTGGCTCTCTGGCACGAGAGATTCGGCCATTTAAACTATAACGATTTGCTGGAAATGAACAGGAAAGAAGCAGTCTCTGAAATTCGCATTGAGAACGACAAAACAGCAATCGCATGCGAAATTTGTTCGGAAGCCAAGCTCACGGCATTATCATTCGGTAAGAAATCTCAGAGAAGCAGTGAGTTACTGGAGATCATCCACACGGATTTATGCGGACCCATGCGGAATGAATCTAGAGGAAAGGCCAAATACTTTCTCACATTTACGGATGACTACTCACGATGGACAGAAGTGCGCTTTTTGCACAGTAAGAGCCACGTCTTGCAGGCATTTAAGGACTTTAAGATCCTTGTCGAGAAGCAGACCGGAAAGAAAATCAAGAGCCTCCAATCGGACAATGGACGTGAATTTCGTAACGAGGAATTTGACAAATTTCTGAAGAAGGAAGGAATCACACGGAAACTTACGACTCTGTACACGCCGCAATTAAACGGCGTAGCGGAAAGAAAAAATCGCACCCTGATGGAGATGGCTCGTTGCATGATGACGCAGTCAAAGCTCCCTGCTTCGTTCTGGGCAGAAGCGGTGGCTACATCGAATTACGTGAGAAATCGTTGCATCACGAGAACATTGAAGGACAAAACGCCTTTTGAACTATGGCATGGAAAACGTCCAAACGTAGGACACATGCGAATCTTTGGAAAGACGGTCTACGCATTGGACAAAACTCCTAATAAGAGTAAGCTCGACTTACGAGGAATAAAAGGTGTCTTCCTCGGATACGACGAGTCATCCAGTGGTTATCAAGTGTGGATCCCAGCTAAGCAGAAGACGATTATTACACGTGACGTAAAGTTTTTAGACATTACCCCCACGGAAGAATCGGAGCCACGCGATTGCGATCAGAAATTGACCCGCAATGAAGAAAAGACACCAACTTTCTGTGAACTTTACATAGATCCTGAAGACGATAAAGAATCGGGAGACGAGGTGGAAAATTCCGTGCCATGGAAGAAGACGAAAACACTCACACGGAAGCGGCTAGAAAGGCCCTGGCCGACCTAAAAAGGTCCTTACAGGAAAACCAGGCCGTCCGCGGAAAACATATCAACCCCCACGCGATGGAAGCCGTTCCTCCGGATCCAACAGAGAAGAAACTGTCGACTGAAATCAAGATGAATTGCTTGACTCAACTGAACACGAAGTGAACTTAGCAAGTCTCTCATCAGAAATTCCTTACCAACAAGCGCTCAATGGACCGGACAAGGAGGAATGAGAAAGTGCGATCATTGACGAGATTGAAAGCTTGGTAAGAAATTCTACGTGGGAAATCGTCGATCGGCCTGAAAGTAATCATGTCATTGGATGTCGGATGGTCTTAAGAATCAAATACGATAAAAACGGACAGGTCGAAAGGAGGAAAGCTCGCCTTGTTGCCAGAGGCTTCACTGAAAGACCCAGAATAGACTACCACGAGACGTATGCCCCTGTTGCTCGAATGGGCTCGATGCGGCTGTTACTCACTATCGCAGCTAGACATGATCTCAAGGTTGACCAGATGGACATCACAACAGCCTACTTGCATGGCAATGTCGAAAAAAAAATCTACATGGAGTTGCCCGAGCTACTCAAGGAAAGTCTAGAAAAAATTATTTCTAGGAGAGGTACCAAGGGCGTTATAGGAAGTCGGGCAAAAAAGATGTTAGAGGAACTTCGAGGCGGTGGAAAAGTCTGTCGTCTGTTGAAGGCTCTTTATGGCCTGAAGCAAGCTGGTCGTCAATGGCATGATAAACTGAGAGAGAAGCTACTCGAGATGGGTCTAACTCCAACTAACGCTGATCCATGCGTTTATATTCTAAAAGGAGGGGAAAACCCCTATTCGTCTTAGTTTATGTAGACGACTTATTGATATTTTATCGTAACAAACGGGATATTAATATGATACGTAAAGCTCTGTTGCAGAAATTTGACTTGAAGGATTTAGGTACTGCACACTATTGTCTGGGAATTGAAATCACCAGGAAGAAAGATTCCATCGCTGTATCCCAATCTGGCTACATTCGAGAACTCCTTTCACGCTTTGAAATGAAGGACTGCAATCCCGTGGCTACTCCTATTGAGACGGGTGTAAGATTGGGCAAGGGCGTACCTAACAATGATGAACTCCAGAAGAAACGGCCGTACCAGGAACTCATTGGAGCACTGAACTACTTGAGCATTGCTACGAGGCCCGACATATCGCACGCAGTCAGTTACCTTAGCCAATTTAATACTTGTTACGGCGAGCAGCATTGGAAGGCGGCAAAACGAGTTCTGCGATACCTGAAGGGAACTATAGATCTCGGAATCGTCTACACTAAAGAATCTGGAGCTATAGAGGGATTTGTCGACGCTGATTGGGTCGGATGTCCAGTAGATCGAAGGTCCTATACCGAATTCGTGTTCACGTTGAATGGTGCCGCAGTGAGCTGGGAATCCAGAAAACAGCGCACTGTTGCCTTGTCCTCCACTGAAGCGGAGTACATGGCCCTGACCGAAGCCACGAAGGAAGCCCTGTATCTCCAAGGGTTTGTGTCGGAACTTGGAGTGTCTAATCCTGGGAAGATTCGAGTAATGTGCGACAATCAAGGAGCCCAATTGCTGGCGCATAATCATACCTTCCACGCCAAATCCAAACATATTGATATAAGACATCACTTTGTGAGAGAAACTCTACATGAAGGCCATCTGGAAGTAAAGCATATATCTACGGAGAGGATGCCAGCGGACTTTCTCACCAAAAGTCTACCTAAGGACAAGCACCGGTTTTGTATGGAATCGATCGGAATTCGAAGGACGACAGAGATTGAAACCGGCGCTGCTCTCGAGGGAGGGTGTTAGAGAAGCCCTCATTTGATATTCGCGCTCTATGCGATCGCGGCGCCTGTTCGCGCATGTCCCTATGCGGGAGCGTCGCTGCGGTACTTCCTCGCGCATGTCCCTATACGGGAGCGTCGCTGCGGTACTTCCAACTAGCGCTCCCGCCTTTTTCCATTCGCCATCTTCTTGTCTCCGCGTGCACATCACGCTGTTCTGTATAATATATTAAGCAATAAATATCTGTTCTGTAAACGGCCCGCATTCGATATCCTGCTTCAACAGTACGGACTTTGCCCTTTTAAATAAAAAAAAGAAACATTGTCCTACGCCGATTATTTAGCGAGATATCGCAATTTAAAGTAACCCCTGTTTTTTTATTATTTCAGCACGATACCGCCGGCATTTGCATAACCTGATGTGCACCACGGGGAGGTTGCTCGGTCGGATTTTGCTGACTAACCAAAAGTATTTCGTAAAATTTTTGCATAAAATCTTAGTATTCTGTAATCAATTTTAAATCAATCTTCTCACATTCATATTATTTAAATTTTTACACTTAAAATATAAATAATAAATTATGGTAGTAGGTATATTATTATATTACAAGAATTACAAAGCATTAAGAAAAATTAAAATAAACAATAAAATTTTATTTTTAATTTTAAAAACGTTATATATATAGTAAAATATTAATAAAATATTAATTTAAAATGTAATTATTTAGATATTTAATATTAATATTAATTCTCTATCTTTACGTTTTTCTCTATATCTCATTATGATAATAAAAAATAATATTAATTTTTGTCCTTTTTTAGAAAGAATCTGACTGCGTGGAATTACCAGAAATCACAAAATCAAAACAACAACTAATGTCGTAACTCGAGTGTCATTGAGTGCTTAATTATGTCTATCTTACCTAGCAATCTGTAATACGTTATTAAAAAATTTTTGAAATATTCATAAATATATACATCTTATATTTAAAAAAAATACTATTTAGGTATCTCTCGTAATTGATTTGGTTTATTTATATAACTGATTTTAATTCGCTGCATGTAGTATTATAAAAATATAAATTTATTGTAAATATGGTATATAATTAGAGGTAATATAAATTACATTTTGCATACAAAAAAATAATTGTGAGTTTCTTCTTGTTGGGAGAAGACTTTGAACGAGCAATAAGTTCCCGCCCTTCTAGAGGGCAGCCCCCGGTTGGCGGCGCGACTCGGCGCGCTACGCGTGCGTGCGGGCATCAGTGGTGCTCACAAGAGCCTCGATCACCGTCGTGTTCAGACGTGTCGGTTACGGTTTAAGTTACAGAGTGTGATATACTTATATATAATAAAGACAGTATTCAGAATGTACAAAGACCAAGATTGTTGTGTTCCCTGCTCATCTCACCACATTTCAAGTCATCCCTGATTATATTTCCAATAGGTTATGGGCCCAGGGCACGATTCCCCTGCGTGAGGAACATAGCACGAAAGTGTATATACGAAGTGTGTGAGACGCCGGCGAAGGGCATAGAAAGAGATAGAAGCATCTAGAAGATTAGAGGGTAAGTAAATAATATTCCTCGTTGCTGACGAGCAAAACGAGAGAATTCTCAGTTAATAAGAATGTTCGTTCGATAAATACTGTTACAAGGAGATAGATGTTTTTGCCATTTTTCTCGAGAAATAGAAATAGAGGTAATAATGGTAATAAGAGAATTAAAGAATAGATGTATAAAGTGTAATAAAGAAGTAGAGAATAATGAAGGAAAAAGAGATAGAAAAATGCCGCTTGGTAGCAAGTCGGCGACGTGCGCGTGCAAGTCCGATCGTGAACGGCGAGAGTCATTTCTTTTGGCGCGCGGAATTTTTTTTTGGCGCGCGGAAGTCCGATCGTAGACGGCGAGAGTCATTGTTTTTGGCGCGCAGAACTTGTTGCTGGGCGCGCACAAACACATAATCGATTTTGACTAACAACATGGCATCGATGCTAGATGGCTAGATTACGATACATGTGAATGTATGCGTATGCTAGATGGCTAGATTGCGATACATGTAAATGTATGCGTATGTATAAAAACTCTATATGACTCTATATGAGTTTATTTTTTTTTGAAATCGATATGTATCGGGTCGGTAATTGAGCATGACTTGCTGTGCGGTGTAGCTTGATTACTGTTTAGGGAAGCCGCGTAAATTTGTATGGGCCCCGTGCGTGTGCGTGATCAACCCGAGCTCCCATAGATCTTTTCAGCAGTGCTGGGGATCGCAACGGACAGTGGTGTGCGCGTGCGGATAGCCCTGCAGAGGCGCGTGGTTTTCTCGCTTTGGGGTTATTGTGAATTGCAGTGCGTTCTATATAGCCTCATAAGCATTAAATTTTTATCGCTGAAAGAGATCTAGTGATAGAAATTGTAAATTATTATTTGTCAATACGAATGTTGGTTTATCTTGTCAAAAGAGGAATGCTAATGTTCAGTTGATATTTAAATCCCGATTGCTCGGGGGGCGGTAGAGCCGTACCCGGATTTGCGATAAAGCGAAGCTCGAAGGACCAGGGGAGATGTGTAAAGTCTCCCCAAAGCGAAAGTTAAGTTAAGCAAATGCGACTCACCGTTCGTTGTGCCGTCGACTCCTGGAGGCTTCGTCTCGGTCGCGATCGGGCTCGTGCAGCAACGCAGGCAGGGCAGCAAGCAAGGCGAAAGCGAGGCAGGCAGCAGTAAGTTAAGGCAGGCAGCAAGCAAGCAGGAGGAAGCAGGTAAAGGTAGCACACAGACAGGCCGAGAAAGTAGGCGATCGCACTATCCGGGAGCGAGCGGATGATCTCGCGACTCCGAATATTAGCACAAGTCTCTCTGCTCCGATAATCTCTCTGTGCTCCGTTAATCTCTCCGTGCTCCGAGACGTCGTAACGATGAGACGTCGTAACGATGAGCCGGCGTAACGATGAGTGATGAGGGCTCGCGGCGCTGGAACAGTGTCGCGAGCGAGTACTTGTTCTGCAGGCGGGTGCCCTCGTGGGGTGAGCGAGGGCAGCACCGATTGGTGAGTCGCGCAATTATCGATTCCGCGTTGATCGCGATCCGCCGACGTTTCGCGCGAGTCACCGAAATACTTAAGACCAGGTACGCAAGAATATTATGTACAACGAGTAACGAGACTAAACAATACATGCATCTAACTACAGTTTGGTGCGCGCCAAACACCGATATAGATGGAAGAAGAAGGAGGCCAAGATGCGCTGGTCGACTACAACAGCGATAGCAGCTTTATTACGGTAATAGATAGAGAAGCAAAAGATAAAAACGAGGAGACAGTAAGAAAAGATAGAGGTAAAAGAGTATTTTTTTTGAAAATAAAGTAGTCCAGAAGAATAATATATATATGCATTCAGAGAAAATAAAAATAGTAATTTCAAAATTCCGTATAGAAGCAAAAGACAAGAAGGAGACTGAAGCAAAGGGTGCAATCCCGAAACGCGGCAAACCAAAGATAATAGAAAACATAGATGTGAATAGAGAATGGGCTGAAAATCGTCCTGTACTACCTATAGGGACAAAGATACTTTACGAGAAACAAGAAAAGATGGTTGAGAAAATGGACAATTTGATGCAGATGCTGGATAAAGTAATGAAGAAGGCCACCGAGATGATGGAGAATATGGTGGAAGTCTCCCGTTTAAACTTAGAGAAAGAAAAAGTTAAACTTAGACGTTTAGAGGTAAGCAATAAAGATACCCAAAGTTCAGTAGAAAACAGTAAACAAACGGTTAAAGAACTAGAGGTAGAGTCTAAAAAGAGAAAATTAAATGAAATAACAGTCTGTTCAGCCGAAAAAGATAGGAGTTTAGAGACAATGAAAAGAGCTATAGAATTGGAATTGAACAGTCAAAGGTTGCATATTAGAAGAGAATATAAGCTGACGCAAAAATCCAACTTTGATCTTTGGATGGATTATTTAAAATCTGAGTTAATGAATAACGAGTTGTTAGATGTAATAGATTCAAACATTGAAAGTCCAGAAAATCTCTCCGAACTAAAAGTTGCTAAGAGAAAAAGTCTTGTTAGAGATATAATAATCAATCATTTAGATGAAAACTATCATAAAAGGATTCTACATGAAAAAGATCCGAAAGAAATTTTGAAGAAATTGAGAGGATATAAAAAGAGTGAAGTAAACGTTACTCATGCATCGGTACGAGCTAAACTCTATCAAATTAAAATGAGAAAAGACGAAAAAGTAAGTGATTTTTGTGAACGTTTCGATTCAATAATTAGAGAATATGAATCATGTGAAGATGCGGTACCCCTCACAGAACAAGAGATTAGATCTGCACTTTATCAGGCTGTGTCAATTAATGTACCAGAGCTGAGGAATGTAGATTTAATTAGAAGACAAACTAATTTTAAAGAAATGAACATAGATGAAATAAAGTCTTTTATGATGCAGTTAGAAGCAGAGACTAAAAACGAGAATAAAGAAAAATTAGAGAAACCCAAAGTCAGGGTACAGAGGGCTGCTGCAGAAGAGAACATGAAACAAGTGAAATGCTACAGATGCAACCGAATGGGTCATATGGCAAAGGACTGTCCACTAATAGAATTTGGTGCCTGGTTTTGTTACTACTGCCAGGAAGTACGAGGTCACAAGGGTGATAATTGTCCGAGTGCCGAAGCCCAGGCGAACAGAGCTAGAGGAAAAAGGTATTTAAATAAAACCGTTAATAAAAACATAAAAAAAAAGGGTAGATTTGTGCAAAAAGGCACAAAAAGAGTAGATAACAAAGGGAAAATAACCAAGATACAACCAGCTGAGAAACCTATATCAACGAAAACAGCAAATGAAGGAGAATCAGAAGAAGGTAAATAATACATGGTTAAATTAATAGAAGATAGAGATAGTTCAAAAGAGGTAGTCAATTTTACTGCAGATTCGGGTGCTACGGATCATATTGTGAATAAGAATTTTATTCTGTCAAAATTTGAAAAATGTAAAGATAGAGTTATTAAATGCGCAAATAAAAATGAGCTTGCAAACATTTCAATAGATGGTAAAGGAGATCTTATGCTAATAACGAATGAAAAAGAAAAGAGAGTCATTAAATTAACAAATGTAATTGCAGCAAAGAAAGTATCCAAAAATTTACTATATCTAAGAAAGTTGGCTGATGCAGGGTTCAGTATTTATTTAGATGATAAAGTGTTTAAAGTTTACAATAAACTGACAAATAAAATAGTTTTTAAAGGAATTTACAGATGTAGAGCAGAAATAGTTCCACATAGTGAGCTTCCTGAACAATCGCAAGCAAACATTCAGACCAATGAATTATCAATTTTGGAGGGAGAGTTAGATGGGAGGGATAATATTGGCTCTGCGATTGGGAGGGAGAATGAAGGAGAGCTCACAAATGTGAACGAAAATATAGAACACAATAATGCTGAACTCGATCAAGTCATTAAGTTAGAAGATATACAGACAATAGAGAATATAGAAGAAATGTGTGAAAGCTCAGTAATTGAAAAAGTAAAGAAACTAGAGAAAATAAATGAGGTGATGTTATGGCATGTTAGATTAGGTCATGCATCGTTAAACTATCTAAAACAATTACAAAAAGTAAAAAAGAGATTAGAAAATGTAAAGTTTGATAACTTTATATTAGAGTGTGAAGTATGTATAATGGCAAAGATGGCAAAACTGCCGTTTAAAGAAAACAGAAATAGAGCACAGAGACCACTACAGGTAATACATACGGACATCATAGGTCCAATAAAACCTACATCCTATCCAGGACAAAAGAGGTTTATAATCACTTTTATAGATGACTATTCTAGATTAGCAAAAGCCTACTCTCTGAAAACAAAAGATGAATCGGGAGAGGCTCTAGAGAAATATCTTATATCCGCCAGAAATCTACTAGGAAAAGAAGAAAAGCTATGCTATGCAAAGTCAGATCAAGACAAGGAAGTTGCAGAAAGGTTCAACAGAACGTTGAAAAAAAGAAAGTAAGAACATATATGCTCGACTCGGGATTATTAAAGAGTATGTGGGAGATGGCAGTTGACGCTGCTGTGCATGCGTACAACAGATCTCCACATAAGACTTTAGAGTATGAGATCCCGTTGAAGAAGTTTTCATCAGAAACAAGTTGTCATTTTGAACAAATAAAGAAATTCGGATGCATTGGATATGCAAGAGTACCAAAGCCTACGTCGAAATTCGACAAGACAGCTATTGGTGTGTTGGTGGGATATACTGACACTGGATATATACTATATACTCTGGTATCCAAGCACGAGAAAATTTATAGAGTCATGACAACAGAGCAGCAAAAAACTGCACTAAGATGGATAGAAGTCACAAACTTAATATGTTTGATGACGACTTAGAAGAAATAAAGAAAGACTTAGAAGAAAAAGAAGAAACTGGAAACAGAAAACATATGGATGACACTCATGGAGATTTTATCAAGCAGTGTGTTGATTAAGGGAAGGTAAAAGTCGAATGGATAAAGACCAAAAAGAATTTGGCAGACATTATGACAAAACCTTTACCTCTAGAAGCATTTGTGTATCTGAGAGATAAAATAATGAATATAGAGTTTAGACAAAGTTAGAGATTAATTTTAGTCGATAACTAATTCTTGTTATATTTCAGATAAAGAGGAAACTTAGAGAGGATCCGTGGATCGCTCGCCCAAAGGGAGGGAGTGTTGGGAGAAGACTTTGAATGAGCAATAAGTTCCCGCCCTTCTAGAGGGCAGCCCCCGGTTGGCGGCGCCACTCGGCGCGCTACGCGTGCGTGCGGGCATCAGTGGTGCTCACAAGAGCCTCGATCACCGTCGTGTTCAGACGTGTCGGTTACGGTTTAAGTTACAGAGTGTGATATACTTATATATAATAAAGACAGTATTCAGAGTGTACAAAGACCAAGATTGTTGTGTTCCCTGCTCATCTCACCACATTTCAAGTCGTCCCTGATTATATTTCCAATACTTCTTCGTACAATTTCTATACTGTTTAATTAATTATGAATATCTACACGCAACTTTGTTACAAATTGTCATGCGCACATACATGTATACGCACAAAATGAGTCTTAAACCTAGACGGTAAAACAATAAAATAATTTAAAAAATTAAGAGAAATTTATTTTGTAAAGTTATAATTTTATGTAAAAGAAGTCATAAATTTGTAATTTTTAGAATAAAAAAGTGCTTCCACAAATTTCGAATTATAGCTACTAATTTTTTTAATTTCATAATTTAATAACATATGCACATTAAATATAATTATTAATTATTAATTATATAATAAATATTATATATAAAATTAATAATTTAGAATTATACATATATTGGCTGTACTTTCAAAAATGCCCGTGCTCCGATTTAGGTCCAAGTTAAATAAGTTCCTTTTAGATAAAAAAAAACGTACGTCAAAAGGACTTTTTAGCGACTGAAAAGTTAAACAATTTTTTCAACATATTTTCATATTTTCTTTTCTTATGTCTTGCACATTATTTTCCTTTATAACAGGACGATTTATTACATTAAAATGATTTTATATGGATTTCCAATGTTTCACGCAAAGCGAGGTCCAACCCCACCACACCCCAGCTTACTTCATATTTTTACATATTATATATATATTATAATTAATGATAAAATAATAATTATTTTAATTAAAATAATTTTAATTAATAAAAATTTTTTAAAAATGCGATGCACACAAAAATCAAATATTGCCATTATTGGATAGTCTAATGTCATCAGTCATTTCACTTTTTCATTAAATTCTTCGCAAATTTATTTTTTTAAATAAAGAATAACATGATGAATGTTGATAACAGCATTGCATTTAGAAACATTTATATCCCGTAATTCTACATTTTACACTAACAATAAGCATTTTACCCATTTTGGGTCTGGCATTGATATAAAGCTTTAATGTGCCTGATGCGTGAAATTGTTAAGTCCCTCCATAATTATTGAATTCTATCTTTTTTTACTCCAAATTATTTTAATTTAGAGTAAATTACTTTAACTCAAAGTAAACTATAATTCTGATTCAAAGATTTATTATTAATATTATTATTGTTAGTGAGAATTTTTAATGTTAAAATCAGAAAATATTGCAGTTTCATTCTAAAATTTGGATTTTCTCCAATTCATTCTAATTAAAATTTGAAACTCCATAACGTAACAACTCCACAATCGTACAATACAATGTTAAAAAATCTTTAAAAACGGATACAATTTCGAACAGCAACGCGTCACTTTGATTCCGTTGTTCAAATTGGACCCTATTAGGCGCGCTTCCGAAGAGTGATAACGCACTCACCTGCGCAACTTTCCCCCACAAAGAGGGCAGAGAACCAGAATAAAAATTGTTTGATAGCGCCCACGTGTCTGACGTCGTTGATCCATTTTTGAAGCTCCGAGATATGTCAAAGCATACAAAACGTAACACACACACACGCATTGCCCTATTGATAGACGCGGTTGCTTATCAACGCCAAAACGCACGCGAAAAATAACGGCACGTAACACTTGTTGCGCGATTGGCATAGACTGAAGAGATGCAGCAGCACCGCCATAGCGAACGGCCCGCGAGAATCGCAATGTAGTACCAGAGGCGTCATCTCACGTCAATTTCACGATACTAAACAATGCGTGCTCTATTAGCAGCAAAAGGAACAGAGAAATCTGATTCGTGCAGCTATAATAGATCTTTATTTTGTTGGGTTTATTTTTAAAATTGGTTAGTGTAACATATATAGAAATGATGTACTTTTGTAGGTAATTTTTCAAGCAATGTAAAATTATTTTACCAAACAATGATAAAGTTTATCAATTTTACAGCGAGATTTGAAAAAAGTATTCTGAAAACATTATCGAGACATAACAAGCAGGTCTAGAAAACATTTTAGACATATTTAAGATTTTATAGAAAGCGATTTTCAAAAGTTTTTAACTTTTATAAGACATTTTTTTGGGAGCATATGCTCCAAAAAACATGTGTGCAACTATTTGCATTATCAACTGCAACATTTATCAATTGAAATACGTGACTATAATCTGCATATGAAAAACGTACACGTACATTGTTCTGAGATGACATCCCACACAGAACATAATATCTAATAAATGTCAACTATTAAATATCTTGTGTATATCTCTCAATGTATATCCATAATACCCTGGCGGAAAAAATTTCTATAAATAACTACAAAATTTAACTAGAAATAAAAATTTGTACATTTTTGTTGAAATATTTAATTTTTTGTAGAAATAGTTATTTTTTTATAGAAATATCTACGAAATAGTACCACAAATTACAATGTTCTCAAATCAAGAAATTATTGCAAGTAGTATTTTATGAAAAACTACAATTTTATAAAAAATAGTACAAAAATCTACAAATTTTAAAAATTTAAGAAGAAACAAAATCTTAAAAAATTAAAAATCTGCTTACTTGTAGAATACTATAATTATTTGTAAATGACTATAAAAATCTACCACAATTTACATATCGTAAAACTATACAAATTAGAATCTAATCCAGTTTTCAGTTTCTCATAAAATACTACAATTTTGTATGAATAGTAACAAATACCGATTTGTTTGTAGAGCTCAAAAATTTATTACAATTATGGCTAATTAAAATTTGTAATTTTTAGTTAAATGTTACAAGTTTTTACACAAATCTTCCAAAAATCATCTATTATTAATAACTTCTTAATTCGCAAAAGTCAAAATATTTATGTTTTTATTTTCGTATAGTCTGTTGTAAAGTCCAATAGAAAAATACATAAATGTACAATTTTTTACCTATATAAATTTCTGATTCGTTAATGATTGTAATTTTGCATACAATACTACAAGGTTCTACATAAAACGACAAAATCCTTAAGCTTTTTACAACTCGTGAATTCATGAAAATCTATATAAATTTGCTTTTTTTAGTTGTTTATAAGATACTACAATTTTACCTGAAAATTAACAGACCTTCAACCAAACCTTCAACCTTTCCATAAAAAGTAAAAATTAATATATCAATTAAAAAAATTAAGTATCTTATGCAAATTTAGAAAAAAAGAAAACTTAAAATAACATATAAGCAATGAGAAGTGCCGTTTTCGGTCGATGCGGATCTTGATTGCTTAATAATATTTCACAATATCAATTATTATTAAATACCTACATGTTTCAGTTTTTTAAATTGGCACTGCGTGCAGTTGGAGCAAAACAAGCTGTATGAAGAAGTTGAGGGGATATTATATGGAGCAGGGATAGCAGATTGACCAAAAAGTATAGGTAAATCAACAATAATAAGCTTTTATCAACCTTCTTTCTTATTCGAAAACGTTAAACGCGTTTTTATCAAAACCATGTTTTTGAAATTGGCGTACACGATAACTCAAAATATTCTTGATAGATCCTGATTTTTTTTTAATTAAAAGTAATTAAATTGCCTTGAACTTATACCTATAATATGTAGGGGAGACCGGGGCTAAGCCGACAGCGGGGCGAACTAGACACTAGGCTTTTTGCCAATTTAAATCTATCGTAGTAACTTGCCTTTGCTACTGTAAATGCGTCTTTATGTGCCAGTATTATCAACGGAATTTGGTAACATTCTGAGTTATAGTGTAACTTTTAACGCGACGTAAGTGTTTTTGATAGTGAAAAGTAATTTTTCTGATCTCTCGAAAATGTCTACTCTTTCATCGAGCTTTACTCTTGCGAATCTACCGGTAAGTGATTTTGATGGGAAATTCGATGCTTTATACGAATCCGATAATAATTTTTGCATATTTTCAAAATTTATATATTTTTGGAGTAACAAAAGTAAAAAACGACGTTCGGGGCTAAGTCGACACGACGCCACCGGGGCAAAGACGACACTAACGTAAAGTGACATTATCGCAAAAAAGGTCACTGTTTCGTCCGATTCCGATGACGATTTAAGGAACATCTGTTGCGTGTGTTCGGAAAACATTTCATTAGCTTCCAATAACAAACAATGCATCTTATGCAACCGTACGGCTCATGACGAATGTGTGCGCACATCTGATCGCGAGTTTACGTGTATAAATTGTTTTTCAGACAGTTCAGAAAAAGATAATTAAAAGTTTAATCTTTTTTTTTCTCATTATTTTAAATAATTGTTTACTTCATTCCGACTTTTTTTGTTTCTAATACACAATGTCTTTTCATTTGATAAACAATGTATTTTTATTTTTAAACAATAAAAAAATAAGTTCCAGATTAAATTGTGTCGATCAAACAAAGTGTTGAGTTTGCCCCGGCGGGGTGTCGAGTTCGCCCCGTCATTTTTCAATTCGAAAATTTGTCTTCGCGTCACTTTTCCTTTCCTGGCGGCAAAACACGCGCATTCACGCGCATTCACGCCACGAACCGAAGAGCCAAAAACAAAAACGCATTAAGCAGACGACTAGCATCGGCCGCCTCGCCGTCTGGTCTCCGCTTGCCGTGACAAAAACGCACGCACTTCGAAAGCGCAAAACTACGCCTATTTTGAAAAGATCGCGGATACTACATCTATATATATAAACATATACATGTAGCATAGATAACACTAAAAATTGTGTATTTGCACCATGGAGTATTTTTGCATTATATGCAAAAAAAATGTCAGTGAAGAAGATGATGCTTTTGTTTTAACACAAAAGGGTGCTAATGGTATTAA